GGGTCCTTGGCTATGTAGCTAATGTATTCCCCAATGGGAAAAGGCCCAATTTAGACTGAGACTTTCTCACCCAAATGTGATCCTTTATTCCAAATTTAAGAGGTCAGCATGAGAACAAAATTCCTCAGATGACTGAGAATAACTGGATCAGAACTGTGCTCAAAGAAAGTTATCACAACTACTATTGGATTAGTTCAACTTTGTAAAGGAGCACCATACTAAAACCTTGCTCTAGATTTTTACTCAAGTGTCAGCAATCCTCATTCAGTAAAGTAATACTGTGGTTGCAAAATAGACTCTGGATTACTTTCATACCAGGATTAGGTTTGGTCCTGATCAGACTAACTCTGAGGCTCTTGACATTGAAGACTTCATAGGATCATAAGGTGCAGTTCTAGCAGTTCAGCCCACTGCTTTCTCTGATTGCCTTCCTTCACGCATTTGGGTTGTTTACATTGAATGAAACTTGTAGATCTACAGCCATTGTGAACAGTTGGCTTAGTTCCATACTGCAAGAGGTCATTATAGTTAGGATCATGATGTAGGTTGATTGATTAGAAGCAGTAGCTTCACTGTATATAATGAACAGACATCCTCTCCAGCTGACCATACAAATGGTTAAAGGAGATTTAGAACAGAATGCTCAATCTGGGGGAAAAAACTGATCCATCCAGGATTAAATTCTGGGTTCTCTTCTGTCCCTTAGTAATGCAAGGTCTGTAAGGGACAGTCATATCTGAACAAACAAGATATTCTCTTCATTAACTTAAAAGACAAGAACACAATACATATGTTTAGAACATACATTTTATGACTTGAGTTTAAACATATAGATGCTATTTAACTACAGTTGTTGCTGTGTGCCTTCAAATTATTTTCGACTTATGACAACCTTAAGGTGAACTTATCATTGAGTTTTCTTGGAAACATTTGTTCAGATAGGGTTTGCTTTGCCTTCCTCTGAAGGTAGATGTGACTTGCCCAAGGTCACCAGTGTGTTTCCATGGCTATGTGGAGATTCAAACCCTGGTCTCCAAAGTCAGTACTAACTACAATACTGAATATAAATTACGATTATTGCTGCCTTCAGCACCAGGTGGTAGAAGGGTAGGATACAAATTAAAAAATTTCCCTCTCTTCCCCATCAGGATGGGGGGG